GCGATGGATAGTGGCTTAGCAACTTCATCCGCCAGTTCTTTCAGGACCCGCAAATGGATCTCATCAGGTCCCATGGACTTGTGCACCTTAGGTTCCTTAGATGGTCTTGAACATGATCTTCTCCTACAGTGGGCGGCTCTTCATCTCCCAGTCCCAGGTAACCAGGTCTCCCGTTTCCTTCCAGAGAGGGCTTTCCCCTCAAACGTACCTATAGAAGGTTTTCTTGTTGCCTTTGAACTGTTATGATCTCAATAATATAATGTTTAAATTAATTTCAGGTCAATATATTTGAAAGTCAGTGAGGAAAGTGCTAATATAAACTATGTTTGAGGTTAGCCAATGCCATTTAACAAGATGTATTAAGAGTTTCCTTCTGCAGTCCTTGTACTCTTGTGTGGTATCAAGGACTACATGTTTTTGTGTTTAAGCATTTAGAAAATTTTGTCTTAAATACACTGCTCAAGCACATTTGCTACTTTTATATACAAAAGCATGTTCTTGGCCAGGAAGCAGCCCAAGTGCTACATTCTCTACAGGAATGGTGGGCATCCATCCTTCCCCATCCACCTCCCCAACTGCCATGGAAAATTATGCTAGTTTGCAGAGAGGCAACTTGATGTGATGGGGTACCTACACAATACCTGGACACACTGGGTCTTGCTTTTTGTAGTTCCTTGTACTCTCTCTGACAAACCGAAAACCCCTCTTCTCTGTTAGAGATCGGCTTCAGGAAAGAAAAGCCTCTTTTCTGTTCAAGGTAGCTAGTTTCTACAAGGCCAGGACTGCTTTCAATGCATTGCTCCCATAGTGTGTTATACCCAGGTTCATCCCTTTCATGGTCCTTTCACCATAGTTCCCCTTAATCCAGTTTTGGATTGCGTGCACTGTGAAGAAAGGCAGCTCACAGGTAGTTCTGACCTGACTTTTTTACTTGGCCTACTCTTGCAAAGGAAATAGACTTATACACAGGAAAATATACATTTAATTTTACAACAGGAGGACTTTACAAGTCACTAACCATTAAAAGATAATAAACATATTTGCCTGTATGAATGTGAGCAACCAGGTTGGATTTGATATTTATATACACTGAGGCACCTCAACATGAATGGGACACTACAGAGGGTTGTTAATGTGAGAGCAAATTAAAATTGCATATGCTTTTAGGTCTTTTAGAGATCTGTTGTAAGAAAAGGGAGACTAAGTAGTTTAACTACTTAAAAAATTTAAAGAAAAAAAAGGAGTTGGACTAAAATGAAGAAGGGCTAACATGCTTGAAATAATAGTAAGTGACATATTTCTAGGCAGACCTAATGACTCTCACTAAGATTTTTACTCATGTCATTTAAGCATTTTTTGTAAATCCATCCCTTGTCTCCCAAATCTAGTTAGAAATTCCTTCCATTGAAGCCCCCAATAAAATATAGAAAAATAGAAATTGCTTAAATAGCATTATTCACTGCATCTATATCAATGTATCCAAAGAGAACATTATTCACTTAAGCGTTATGCAAAACTGGTCTTTCTCTTGTCAATGAAAGTAAACGCATAAGGAATGGAACAATTCTGGTAGTTGATATCAGTGAGTACATATACATCTCTTTCTGCTGGGTTTGCACACCTTTCCTAACCTAGTGTCAATACAGAGGCATAGAGAAACCAACATGATGTTATCAGAATCTCGCTGCCTTTGCTGTAGCTGGTATTTTTATTCCTAGAGATCCCTTGACATACTCAAAATAAAAAAGATTGCATATAAAAGCAGGGCAATCAATCAGCAGCAATTAAAAAAATGCTGATAGAAAATGGAAAAAGTCTGAGATGAAAACCGTCCAATATGCTGAACAGCTACATCAAGCTATTAATGGCTTTTTCCCTCTGTGCAGTCCTGAAGTCAGAGAGGCTTTGATTTTAGGCAATGTCATATAGTAGCCATTTATTAATAGACCTCTTCCATCACAGTTAGCCTGCACTGGGTGGAAAAGAATTCCAAAAGAAATGTGGGAGAGTTTCAGAGCCAGTGCCCTATCCCTTTTTGAAAGAAGGCTGACACGTGCAATGTAGTCACCTGAAAAGACGTAGTGGAGGTAATGGTCTGACTCGGTGCAACCCTAATGTTTTCATGTCAAATGCTACTTTATTATACATCTCTCTTAGTTATCAGCAGCCTTTATTATGCCACAGGAACTGAAAAACAGGGCAGGGAGGTCTCTATCTTGCAAGAATGTAATTTGTTAATTGCAGATTAGCTTTACCTTTTTGACAGTCACCACATAGGTCCAATAACTCAGGTTTGAGCACAGAAGCTTTGATGGATTGGTTCAGCACTTGGTCGATCACCTATTCATATCAATGATACTTCATAGCCAGGATTTTTCTCTTTCTTTCTCTTCTTGGTCAACAGCGCAAGGGAAATTTCCATAATCATTTTCTTCTAAGAGATTTTTTCCTAGGTATTAAAGATATCCTGTTTCCTAGATTTGTGAATACTTCAGTTATTGCAAGTGTATTGTGCTATACATAGAATTACATTTGCTTCGAAAGTGTTTGTTTTACTGCTTACAAAAATAACAGCTACAAAAAAGGTATCCATTAAATGAAAAAGGAAGGTATGATTTGGAGGTCCACTAACACCAGAAGGTACTGGATCTGAACATTAACAAGTCATCTGGATGATAAGGTAATAGATGATCTTCTGAGAAGTCCTAATAAATAAACATAGGCTAAGAAGCTGGCATAGATTAAGAAAAATATAACACACGTGCACATATATTTACCATTTGTATCTTTCCCCCAAACTATTTTTAATGAAGGAACAAAAATCCTGTCTTGTAAACACATGTTGAAGTTCTTCTGGCTGCAGTAATCCCATTTCTTCCATGACTGGAAAATGTATAACTAAATCCATGTTGACTGTGCCTATTTATGACAACCTGGTTCATTAAATGTGCATATACAATACATTTATATAGTTAAATATACAGTAGAAGTGTTTTAACATATTAGTCTATATTTTGAGATTTGCTTATACTCTGTAATTTTCTTGCTTGATATGACTCTTAACATTTGCCCAGCCAGTCTCTCTGTCTCTCTCTCTCTTTCTCTGTGAGGTTCACATGTAAACTGATTTAAAGATTGCATAATGACTGTTTGGCATATCCTACAGGCAAAGGTCCAGAAACCCTTTTTGCTGGCTATAACCTCAATGATAATGAGTGGCACACAGTGCGTGTGGTTCGGCGAGGAAAAAGTTTAAAGTTAATGGTGGATGACCAGCAGGCCATGACAGGTAGTGTGGCATTGTGACTCCGTGTTACTGGGGGGAAACACAAAAAATGACAGAAGTAAAATGCCTTTCTCTGAAAGCAACAGATGCTTTTTTCTTTTCTTGGGTAAGATCAAAAATCCATGTTATGCGTCTTGAAATACTGCTACTACAAGTGCGTTATTACACTTGATATTAATGTTACTCTAACATTGCTACTGAAATTAATGAAAACCTTCATGCTGACTTAAATGAATGTTTTTATACAGTAATTGGAGAGAAGTCATTTGATACATCACTAATGAGAAGGCAAGTAAAATGCTTTTGGCAACACACTGAATTTATACTAAGGTTAAACTCTAAGCTATTGTTGTAAGAAAGAATTTCATAAATGTTTGAAGGATATTCTATTGTGTTTTAAATCTTGCATCAGCTGTCCTCAATAATTAAATGTTAGGCAACAGGTTTTTCTCAAATACTAAAATAGTAGTTGGGATGGGAGAAAAAATATGGCATGAATGCCAGCAGATCTTAGAAATACATTCCTATGTGTATATTATCAGAAATGATAATAGAGAAGACTTTGATTTTGTTCGGTTAAAGATAAGGCTTACATATACGTCGTTATTAGTAACAGACCTGGTTTCTGTCCCCAATTCCTTGCACAATACAGTGTGCCTAACTTTGTGTTAGCTATTTAGCATTTTCCTTTGTTTTCATATAGTATTAAATAGCTTTTATCATTAGTTTTAAGCTTTGTTAAAAGGGTAACAATTTTAATGGGTTTTTAAAAGGAAAGCATCTTCTTCAGTAGTCTTTCACCTCAGCAGAACGCTGAAGACCATGTCACCGGTAGAAAAATAAATGCTATGTATTCATATAGGTGCAAAAACATACTTTTTAGAATCAGAAATTACCAATAGATCTTCCAGAGCTGAAGCAAAAACTTAGTCTGTGTATGGGATGATGCTTTGGGGCATTCTCCCAAGAAAGCAGATAGCCTAAACCAGTTATTTCCTTTGTGAAAATAAATATATAGTACTGGAGGAACTGTACTGAAAAATATTATCATCTTGATGCTTCAACTGGCAACTCAAATAATAAGGCTACTTTGGGGACGTTTTCTAGTTAGAGGAAGCTGTTTAGATCTGAATAAAACACAGCATCTGAAACCAAATGCAGATTTCCTGGGCTCCTCATGGCAGATTTTTTTATTTACAAATAGTACAGGTTACAAAACTACCAAGAAGTACTGGTTTTACCTTTGGGTTCAGTCCCAGCTGCTCAGCACAGCTTCAGAAATGTTCAAAATATATATGAGGGATTAAGATAAAACAGGAGGTTTCTATCATATATAGTCTAGTCAGGTGAAGTAATAAGTAAAGAACGCAGGGCTGTAAGTTCTTGTAATCACTCTTTATTGTGGATAACTGTAGTTACTATCAAATATCATGGTCTCAGCAAATAGCTAAGACACTGGAACAGGTTTCCCAGAGAGGTGGTTGATGCCCCGTCCCTGTCAGTGTTTAAGAGGCGTTCGGACAATGCCCTTAATAACATGTTTTAACTTTTGGTCAGCAGTGGTCAGGCAGTTGGACTAGATGATCATTGTGGGTCCCTTCCAACTGAACTATCCTGTTCTAGCTGTTAAAGCCAGTGAGTCTTTTCAGTTGCCTCCTGATGAAGCAAAGTCTTCCTAAACTCCCTGCAGGAAGCTGTGTGGTCCATCTGTGGCCTCCTCCATCAGTGAGGAGGGAACTGGCATGGGAGAAGGAGCTAGAGGGAACTTGAAAGTCTGATAACACAGGAAACCTGCTGTTAGTCCAAGGAATATTACATTTTCTACATGGAATTCACTGTGAATTTCCTGAAGGGGTAGTGGAAGAGTTGCCATATCAGATTGGAGTGCTCTTGCTCTAAACTGCTTAGAACTTTTCTTCAGATGTCTCAACAGTCAGAAATGTGGCTAAAATATAACCTAGTAGTTATTCATGTGAAAGATTATTATAATCTTATGGGAGCATGAGGAAAAAAATGGACTTTATCCCAAAAATTCCAGCTTCCCCCTGCCACCCACTGTGTTTTCCTTTTTTGATTCCATTTCCTACGTCACATATGAAAAAAAACCATCAGATCTAGAAAGCTTAAGCTGGAGGGGAAGCCATTAAATAATTCAGCCTCACTTTCTATTTTTTACAGGTTATAAAATATCACCTGTTCATCCATGTACTGAGCTTAGTTATCTTTGACGAATGCATAATTTGTGCATGGATAAATAATATCTTTCAGAATCATAACTAGCTTTCATTGAATGTCATACAGGTAGTTTTGAAAATTTTACTCATCGTAGAAGAGTTTAAATACTTACAGCCCTGATGCACTTTGTTTTCTGGAAATGTATAGAAAACAAAAGTGGACTGAAAGAGGTCACTACAATTGGATAATGGAAAGGATACCTAGCTTATGGTAACAGAAATTCACTTGGCCTTTTTTGTGTCCCATGGCATTGCAACAGGTAATGCATTTTGTGCACCAACCTTACAAGTTAAAAAAAATAAAAAACCCAACCTTGTGAGCACAAACTGCAGTCTCTCTCTTTTTCTTCATTGCTGTAGTTGCAAATGCTGTGGAGCATTATGTGAAGTCTCAAGTCCTGTTAGCATGTTTGTTCAACTGAAATGATAGAGGGAGATTTGGGATGTGAGCCCAGATTCTGGAACTTTTTTATTACTATGCTCAAGAAATACATTTAAGGTAGTGAATGTAGTGAGGATACTGTGCTACAGGCCAAAGCTTGGTGGATTTTTGCCATGACATTTATGCAATGCCATCTGAAGTGATATAAGACTGGAATACATCATGTTCCTCCTCTAAAACAGGATCTTCAGCTCTCTGGCTATGATCCAATATGCAGCTCTTGGCCTTGCAGAAAGTTACAGATTTGGCATTCTTCAAGACAGCTCCCTGACTCATTACTGCAAGGAAGAACCCACCTTTGCTAATACATCAGGAGAAGTGGTATCTTCAGAACTGATGTTTAGAAACAAGAACATCAAGAAGGCTGTCCTTGGGGATGGCATCTAAGGTGCCTCTTGCAACGCTTAGCCTGTATGACTGCAGATCCCAGATACTGATATGTTCAATGACATCAGTATAGTTAGGTCAGAATGCATTCTGAAGCTAAGGAAGCTGCTTGTAAATATTTATCATAAATTATTAGGGCAATTTTCTTTTTTTTTTTTTTTTAATTGTATTAAAGCTTGCAGACCTGTTTTCGCTGTAACTTCACTAATACCTGTATTTGTGTATCAGTGCTGTGACTTAACCTGTTTGTGAATCCATCTCCCTGGGCAAAGCCCAAATATCTACATTCATCTTGCCCTTTCCCTGTTCACACATGCATTCACAGACACTTGCTTATAAAACCTATGAAGGTACAGCTGTCTAAGCCTGCCTCAGGGCTTTCTGCACCACCACTAAACACATCCAGCCTGGGCCAGGGCTCACACTCTCCTCTTGGAATAGTGTGTTCAGGGAAGGACAGAGGGAACTTGTTCCGTCAACACCTTTGCGCTGCAACTGTGAGAACTTGTATTATAGAGCAGTTTTATGCCAGTATTTATTCCAGCTTGGCTGGGTCTGCTGTTCACCTTCTTTGTACTCCATGAGAGACACGAAACATTTAAGGAACTGTGAAGTCTAGTCCATCGTTTGCAAAAGGTAGATTAAGTGGTAAAATTGATTAGTAATAAAAAGCTGTTTTGTCATCATACCCTCACAATGTGACCATGAATCAGCCTTGTGATAGTACTGCCCAACTTCTTTAAAATAAGCATGGAAAAAAATCTAAGCTCTGTTACAAAAGGGAACTCTTTAGCGGACACCATTTTGATGTGCTGGGTAAGGTATTTAATAACTAGCTTAAAAACTTACCTGACCTGTATGCATTGTACCTTGGCAGTGTTGATCCTTTCCTTCAGATTAGCTATACAGTCAGCAAATTTCAGGCTTTCTGCTGTGCAGGAGTCCTTGCATGACAAAGAAAGACTCAAAGGTAGCTGTGAGGCTTGGTTTTGGCCACCTTTCTGATGTAAGCAAGTCCCTCGCTATTTTCAGGATTACAAGACACTGGCATACACCCTTGCTGCAGGCTTTCTGCTTCATCCATCTCTTAGGCTCTGCCCCCTTCTCCCACGGTTTATTCCCATGGTATAAAGCTAGTTGCTTTTAAGGAAGGCTCTGTCCATCCTTGCAGCACAGGGTTTTGCATCAGGGCCAACATTAATGTACCTAAGACAGCTTAGACAGGAATCCTTCCTTCCGCTTGCCAAATCATGCACTTTTAAGCAAAACGCATGGAGTAATATCCCCCAAACTGTTATGCCTCTCTTCCATGAAACTCTAACACTGTAGTTTTAGCTCTGAGATTTGCCTTTGTGTTCTTCATGTTGTGTTAAATAATTACACTTGCTTATAGTAAAACTACATGTCTGGTTAAGTGTAACCGAAATGAGGGATTTTGTTGGCAGTTTGATATACTATGGTATTGTGCTTCAGTTTAGAAATCTTGCTGTTGGCCTTATACAAACATACTGAACTCAGTGGAAAGGCTCCCAGATGTTTACCGGAAGTTTGGATGAATTTAGAAGAATCCTCTTTGGAGCCAAGAATTGGCCTTGCACATTCTGAAAAGTGTGAAATTGATGCAGATACTTAATCACATGGTGTGCTTTTTGACCTCCCATTTCAGATGCTAACATGTGTTTTCTTGTTACTATTTAAAGGTCAAATGGCTGGTGATCACACACGACTGGAATTCCACAACATAGAAACAGGAATAATAACAGAACGGCGCTACCTGTCTTCTGTGCCTTCTAATTTCATCGGGCATCTACAGAGTCTTACATTTAATGGCATGGCATACATTGACTTATGTAAAAATGGAGACATCGATTATTGTGAGCTAAATGCAAGATTTGGATTCAGGAACATCATAGCAGACCCTGTAACCTTTAAAACGAAAGCAAGTTATGTTGCACTGGCCACGCTACAAGCATATACGTCTATGCACCTTTTTTTCCAGTTCAAAACAACCTCTCTGGATGGATTGATACTTTATAACAGTGGCGATGGAAATGATTTCATTGTGGTTGAATTAGTAAAAGGGTATGTATGGATTAGCATAATGACAAAAGAAGTCTCTTCAAAAGAATTCTCTTCAAAAATATATATACAGGAGAAATACAAGGGAAAGTTTGGGATACAAATCTTTGACTGGACATACATGATTGATGAATGTTTCTTCATGTTAAACTTCATATGCTTTATTGTGACTTTTTCTTTCAGATGAAGCTAGATGCCTGAAAAATATTAAAGTAAATAATAGGTATAACTTCTATAGTGTTTACCACAAAGAAGTATTAGTTTATAGCGTTCCTCTTGTTCTGTCTCTACGTATGTATGCATGTGTTGGTACATGGAGCGCTCGTTACTTTCCAGAAACTTGGGACTGCATCTCAGCACATCTAAATGAATGGTGATTACTCTGAATTAAGGTTGCTTCCCCATTTGGCATTCATTGTTGTCTTCCAGTTTTACCAGCACTACTGAGGAGTATAAGGAAATAGGAAATATTAGACATGTTAATTAGTGCCCCCTTGCTATGTAAAGAAAAAGGAAACTTTTCCAATTTTTTCTCTTTTCCTAGGTATTTACACTATGTGTTTGACTTGGGAAATGGTGCAAATCTCATCAAAGGAAGTTCTAATAAACCTCTGAATGACAACCAGTGGCATAATGTGATGATATCAAGGGATATCAACAATCTCCACACTGTGAAGATTGACACTAAAATCACAACACAGAGCACAGCAGGAGCCAGAAATTTAGATCTCAAAAGTAAGTACAGTAATTCCTGTATAACTTACAGTGAGGGTCATTACTGAATGATAACCTGAATAAATCATATATGTAAAGTACAGTATAATTTTGTAATACCATATGAAATGTTTTATGTGATAATAATTAATATGATCACAAGAGATGACATCATCTTTATGATAGCCTGACAATGCAGGTTTAGTAGTAGTTCTGCACAGTTAGGTACTACTTTAAATGTGTGAAAGTGCCACAGGAAAAAAAGTAGCAAACGGTAAGAACACAGAGTGGCCCATATATACCAAAAGATAATTGGGGGACTAAAGAAGCTCTAAAACGTCTATGGAAAAGGATTGACTTTTACATGAACATAAGTTATGTAAGTGGCATGCAGAAACCACAGCCTAAGCTTTACAGTATGACTACAAAGGCTTTGCAGAACTGATGATCTCTGTGTTAGAGAATGGGGGAACATTTTGACCTGTCCCTCACTGTTCAGTATTCCACATAAAACCTACCTTTTGTTGGGAAAATAAATACAATGCGGTATTTTGATATCATAAAAAATCTTGTAAGTAAAGCAATTTTATGTGGCAGTCCTCTAATGAATCAGTTATAAATACAAGTTGCCAGATGTATTGAACCATAAACATATACTCACCTAAGTACAGAAAGTGTTGTAATTTCAATTGCAGGGTGGGATAAACTTTGTTTTATAGGTCTAAACCTACATTTTATATGTCCAGCTAGATTCTTAAGTTCCATTTTTATAAACCAAACTGATAAATGTGTGTATTTTAAAATAAGTAATAGTATTAGTTGTAAGGATGGGCTTCTGAAAAGCTAATTTGCATCAGAGGAAAATATCTTTTTGAAAGGATGTATAAGTATAATTTTAAAATACTGCCCACCTAATCAGACATAAGAAAATATGTTCTGGTCATGTGAAAACTTGTGTATTTTAACATTCTTTATAAAAGTTCTTGTTAGAAAAACCAAAATTTCCTAACAGTCAAAGAAAATTTAATATTTCAAAAGCCAGGATGTTCAAAGTAGATATTAATATTCCATTAAGAGCTTATTCCTTGCTGGATTTTCTTTTAACTACCTCTAAGTCGCAGATAATGAGCTGACCTTAGTAATTATTTTGGATTTTGTGATATTTTACATGTTTGCTTCACTTGAAAGTGCTATTAAGATTGTAAGAAAGACTGTGAAAACTGTATCTTGATATGTCATAATCTTCAATAAGAGCCTCTTCATCAGAAATGCTTGGTTTATAAATTAAAGCTTTTTCAATGGCTCACACTCCATTCTCAAAATTGTATTTGAAATTTGTGCCACATTCTTTCTCATTTTTGCATTCCTGTAAATATGGTCGACGTTTATTGAGGCAATGTAATATTTCAACGTTATTTTTGATGCTGTAGAGAAAGCATCCACTTTATTCTTTCACGTTTTTTGCAATAATAAGTACCACTTATGCATATACGTATGTATGTGTATGTATTTAATCTGGTTTTTTTACAAGTATATTAATTAGAAATGAGTAGGAAAAATAATCCTGTTAAGAACTGATAACTAGGTTAACACAGTCATTTTATTCTACATCATCTTCAAACTGAATGTGGTGTTTTGGTATGTTGCTTTATTTAAGAAAAGAAAATAAGGTTTGAACAATATGCTTAATAAAGGCACTAGAGGGCACTGTTATTTCACTAAATGCACTGCTTAGTGCATTCACGGAGAAAGCTCATCAGCGAGGGTAACCTATAAAATCCAACATTCCTTTGTTTTCTTCACTTTGAAAATGTTACTTTTGCTTTACCCTTTTGAAGTACAATTGTATCCATAGCTGGTGCATTTTCTAACCTTGAATTCCAGTGGAAAAAAACTGAAGAGCATGAAGAAACTTACTGAGACTCGAAGCGAGGAAGGTGAATTGTATTAGATGCTGATTTTCTGTAATTCACCACCCAGGGAATGTGGCTAGTAAAAGAATAACAAGCCTGACATATTCAGTACAGTAATATATAGTAAGCATCTTTTGCAAACTGGTCTAGCGTACACAGGTCTTCAACCTCTGTCTTCTCATAGTAGTATGTTTCATTTTATTTTTTTAACGTATTCTATATTTTGCTAGGTCAGCTTCTGTAAATATGGCATAGCATAATAATGAGAATTTTTGTTGGATTTTTGGGGGAGTTCAAGCTGATACATTTTAGCCAGCAGGGTAAAAAGAAAAAAAAATTGCCTTTCATTATTATTTTTTCTTCCTCTGTATTCAGTTGAGATGCTTTCCTGTAGCTTGTTCTTTTCTATTTTATGTCAGTGTTTCTTATGGTGACACATCTCTGTTATGCTATAAACGCTCCATACACTTTACTGATACAAGCAGCTATGGTTAATTCCTTGTCCTATATTATTTTAGCCCTAGCAACAAAACAAATTCAAAATTATACTTCCTGCTAGTGATATCAATAATTCTGTTTAACCAGAGTTAACATTAGGTGAAACGTAAATGTGTACAGATAACATAGAACCTTCAGCCTTTCTGAGTAATTGTAGAGTTACCAGATTTCAGATGCTGAAATCCAAGATAATCCTGGAAAGATAAAGCAATATATGCAGTTTTTGCAAATACACAGTGAATTCGGTACAAAGAGATGACACAGATTGTGTTGTAGAGCCTGCATAGGATGCCAGTTGTCTGGGAAAGCAGACAGTTGCCGTAAAAGTATGGGAGAGAATTTCCACGCTTCCTTTTGGATGTAGGATTTGGCTATGTAACATAGAAAGTCCATTATTACAGACATGGGTTCCCGGCATAACCTCTGGTACAATTTCAGTGGATTGGAGGGGGTACCTGTGGAAATGCTTATATTAAATTCTTCAGCTTAATTATTGTTGTAATTAGATGGGTAAATTATAAATTGGAGACAAATAAATGAGTGAAAATAGTTCTGTGTTTGGATTCCAAGAACTGTGTTATTTTTCCTAGCAGAGAGAATTAGTAAAGCGTACTTGGGTGCAGTTCTAGCAGATAACCTGTGAAGATAAATGAATCTTAACAGCAAAGGCAATGCAGCTCAAGCCTGCCAACATTCAGTTACACAGCAAATTTTCTTTCATGTATTTCATGAGCAGGGTCCCTGTCCTGCTTTCAGTATAGCTCAGATGGTTAGCATGGCTACAATTCAAGGCTTTCACAGACCAAAATAGTTGGGTGGAGGGGAATTCTTGCTTGCTGTACTTGATGCTGTACTCTTATGGTCTTGAGGGGTACAAGTAGCCTTGAAGGGGCACAAAAATGCAAGCAAAAGTGGAATTTGACTTGTGCCCTTGTTCCTCACTGTTGCCAAAGAAAAGATGTCTCCTTTGTTCAGACTGTAGGTATTACAACATCTGTAATGTCTCTTCCCTCTCTACATTTTCTTCCTGTGGTGTGGGAAATTGGAGTTCTGTCAGAATTTTTTTTTAATAAATATTTGAAGACACATGATCTGCTTTTGAGGAGGAGGAACATCCTCAGGCATGACTTTGCATCCACTTACCTACTAGGGTTTAATCTTCCTTTTTCTTCTCTCCTACACATATAGGCACTACTTTAATGCCCAAAGTTTTCAGCCGCTTTCTTTAAACAGCAAACATACAAAAACCTACAGGAATCCACTCAGAATAACTGTCAGAAAATTAAAATATTTTAGCATTTTACTTGTTTACAAATTGAGATGAAAAGTTGAAATATCACACTCTCACAAAATGAAAAGCTAAGGAATGCTGCTGTTATTTTAGATTTAACAATAAATAGTTACAAACTTTTCTAGGAGTTGGTAGTTTCAGTATTTCAGTATCCCATCCTATTCCAGACTTTCTAGCTGTGATGTATCCTTCAGGATGAACTGCAGTCATCCTAATTTTGATGTTGGGCTAACTCTATTTTCTTTTTGAAAGGAAATCACCATCACAAAAAATATCCTACCCTGCTCAACATTTATGGTTTGAATTTTTTGCTGCCTGTGCAGCATTTCATACATCTTTAAGACCTGCTTTTTTCAACTGACATCCATACTTTCAACTTGTCTCTGTTATTCTCTTCCCCATGGCCTTCCCAAATGTCAATTTTAGAGTCCATTGTAAGTCATATGTTACTCCTGTGCTGTTATATCTCTGCATCCTCAAAAAATACTGTTCATATTAGAGCATACACCAGAATCAACTTCCTTGGATTTAAAAATCCTGTCTGGATCTCATCTGTTTTATTTCTGTAGCTCTTCACTGGCCTCCGGCTTCCTCTATTCCTTTGTGAGATATGGGTGCTGTTGCTATATACATTTGCCTTTTCATTTGCCGTTTTCTCCAATAATGTGAAAACAGCCTAGTCTGAAGCATCTGAAAGAAAAATAATCATATCAATTTCTGGTATCACCTCGGTGGTTTTGCAAATGTACTTTAGATATACTTCTTCCATGTACGTAAAGACTCATTTGGCAATTAATTCATCCTTGTGAAATTTTAATGCCATTAACTAAATTATCAGTAGATCTACTGGCCTGGCATATTCATTGGTGATTTGTAATCGTCACTTAATCTATTGATATTTCATTTGCCCGTCAAAGTAGGTTATTCATGCTATGCAAAACTGAGCTAAATTAGTCTTGATCATAAAGAAGATTTCTTGTTCCAGCAATGGAAATTGAAATTATTTCAATTTCGTATAATATTTGTCCCTGTTGTTTTATATTGAGCCCTTTATTATTGTTGCTGCATTATAAGTTCTTCTCTATATTACAAGGTCTCTATCAATGGCAGTGATACTTCATATTTCTATTACTAAGAAACATAGCTTTAAGAAGCACAGAAAAGTATTTTATATAAAAATGCAAATTTGTACAAATGAACAAGTATTAATGCTTAAATTTCTCAAATAAACATGCACGAGCTAATTGTAATGACATTTTCAGTGGGCTGTGAACTCTTCATGCAGAAATAACATTCTGTCCCAAATGCGGAGTCCCAAA